AACAGACTGACTTCATTAATTAATATGGGAAAAATGGCCATCTTCATGATTAAGTATTGTTTTACAAGTTTATTTGGGTTTTCTATTTATTCTTGATTTGATATTGGCAATTTATATTTTAAACAAAATTCTCAATTCATCTGTGTTTAGAAAGTTGTTGCAAAAAGCTTTTCAGTATTCTCTTCTGATTATTTAAATATGTCTTATGCCTGTAGTTATGTCTTCATTTTAATTCTTGCTATTTTTATTTATGCCTATTCTATTTCATCATCTTTCTTGCCACAGGTCTATATAATTAGTCTTAAAAGAAAGAAAATGCAGCTTTTGTTTTAGTTGATCCTGTCATTATTTGTTTTCCGTTTCATTAAATATTTACTTTATTTTCTTCTAATATAAAAAGTCAGAAAAATGAACAGAGTAATTGTTAAGTTGAACTTCTATAATTTTCTTTCATTTCTGCTATATTGTATACATTTAATTTCTCAAGAACTATTTTTGCTGCATTACATAAGTTTTAACATACATTGACTCAGTTGTCTTTCAATTTTAAATATTTTAGCTTTAAATATAAATTATTTATATTTTTCAGGCCTGATTTATGTATAAGTACTTTTAAATTTCCAAACACATGAACATGTGTTTTCTCTTAATATTTTCATAATGGATTATATTGTAGACAGAGAATGTGGTCTGCATGACAGCAAGTCTTTTGCAACTCTATCTGTGGTCTAATATCTATTCAATTTTTGGAAATGTGTACATATACTTGAAAAAATCATGTATTCACTAATTATGTATGTCCATTAGATTAATCTTGTACATTTTGTTTGAATCTTCTCAACATTCCCAAAATAATATTTAGCTAAAAGGTCCTAAAAGTAGCATCTTAACCCCCAATAGTCAAATCAAATATCTTTAAAGACTATCAACTAATATTATCTGAAAGGCAAATCATGTCTTTGCATACACATACACACATGCACACACAAACACACATTCTTTGTTCTCTATAAATGCTCTGAGCCTTGCTCCCTGAAATAAAGATCCAACTGTTAGTCACAAAATTCTCAAGTATTGGGGAAGAATCTCATATCTTTTGGCTATAAAATCAGGTGGTTAAAAAGAAAAAAAAAAACTTTACAAAAAGAAATGTAGGCTGGGTGCGTTGGCTTACACCTGTAATCTCAGTGCTTTGGGAGGCTGAGGTGGGAGGACTGCTGGAGGCCAGAAATCTGAGGCCAGCCTGGGCAATATAGTGAGACCGCCCCCCCCCAACTACCAAAAATTAGAAAAACTTCGCCAGGTGTGGTGGCACACTCCTGTAGTCCCAGCAACTTGGGAAGCTGAGGTGGGAGGATCAATTGAGCTCAGGAAGTCAAGGCTGCTGTGAACTATATGATCATGCCACTGCACTCTAGCCTAGACGGCAGAGCTAGAACATGTGTCTCAAAAAAAAAAAAAAATCATAATAATTGAGTGGTCCTGCAGTTGAACTATTACATACAGGGTCCTGTTGCCAGGGTCCACATGCTGTAGCCCACTGAGAGCACTCTCTCTGCCTTTTATGGTTCCCTAGTGTGTTGGGATCAAATGAACAAAACTTGTTACGATACAGTCATGCTTTCTGTGATGATATATAGTTCAAACATCTATATTTGTAAACAAAGCCCAATAATCATTTTGATCATTTAAATTCTCCTTCTGAAATCTTTTTAGATCTATCCTTCTTAAGATCTCTAACCTAAGTACAATAAATTACTTCTGTAGATATTTTCTATTTTGTTTCTAAGATGGTTCTTAATAATTTTCATCAATTTGTCAGTTTATATTTTATTTTTCTTGGATGTTCTGACAATATTTTTCCCAACTGATTTGTACGCATTGTTGGATGACTAACAATCTGTTTAGTCTCAGTGTTACACTTAATTGTGTTTTGATCAATATATGTTTATCCAGCATATACTTCCTACAATAGTTCTATTAACCACTCAAAAGTTTAGTCTATTTCTTTTCTTTTCTTTGTCTATTTTAAAAGTACAAAGCAGTTAACCATATTCTAAAATCTCAATCAACACGTCCTAAGTATTCTAGCAATATGCATCTCAAAAGTGAAAACTTCCATTATTGTCTGGCCTTTTAGTGACCATACTTCGGACTCATTTAACACCTACAGATAAGTCTCAAGATAATATTACTTAGGTACGTGTTAGACTTGTTAATTTGCTCATTCTAAGCTACTAACAAAATCTGGGTCTTCTAATTTGTTTCATACAAACCCAGGACTTGATACGGTCTGAATCTGATCAAGTATGATGAATGACTTCTGCTTCTGTGTCTTCAATTATTCTTAGCAATTAAAGGACAAAAAAAAAAAAAAAAGAAAAACCTGACAGCACTTTGAAGACTGCACAATATTCAGTATACAGCAAAATGAAGAGACATGGAAATATACACCTAAATAATCTGATTCAAACACTTCAATGTGATTCTGAAAAGAGGAAATGAGACAAAATGCTTTTATGACAAAGAATTTCATTATTACAAATTAAACTTTATATGAGAAGGGTGTTAACTAATCTGGGCTCTAAGAATCCCAAATCATTCATGAAGGTGCTAATGGGGTAATTCTTTGACTTACAAATATTTAATGATGAAAACTGGCATACATGAAGTTCCACTGAGCTAGTGAAGAGGCACTGGTTTCTCTAATTTGTGAATTTCTGATGCAGTATTCTCAGTGAAAAATTATTCAGTATAGTGTCTTCTTCATTATTATAAAGCTCAACCAAGTTACCAAGTCAGGTAATTAAGGCTGTATGTTAACCTTTCTGAATTATAATCTTATTCCTCTAATCTAAATAGATCATATAGATGTCCTCCAATTTTTTTTTATTGTTTTGCCACTAATGTGACAGAAAGCAATGAAAAAAACAGGATCTAATATAGAAACTTTGAGCCTGTGGCTAATTTTAAGACAAGTATCTACTGTATTATTTATGAATCTACAACTGAAATACATGGAATAGACTTAATCTGAGATTAGTGAGACAGACTGCTTGTACAAAGATGAAAAGTTTTTGTTTCCCTTCATTTTTATCCTTAAAGAAGTAATGAAAACCAAATTCTGAATATAATCTACATAGATACAAAACTGATAACTTGGAGAAAATAATGTGGCCTGCATTATTGTGACAGCTTCCTTGTATCTTCTTGAATCTAATTATGGCCTACAGCCCATTCTCACCAATGCAGCCAGAATGATCTTGTTAAAATCAAAGTCAGATTAGACCACTCCTTTGCTGAAAATATTTTAATGGTTCCCTACCTCATTCAGAATAAGAAACGCAATCCTTAAATAGCCTGCACAGAGTCTTTCATAATTGACCCCCATTTTCAAACCCAGATCCAAACATTTCTAATCTCATCTCCTTTCTCCCCATACTTTCTCTTCTCTACCAGTCACTATGGTCACCTTGGGTGTTTCTTGAATACCTCAGAAATCCTCTTGCCTCAGGGCCTCTGGGAGTGTGGCCTTGAATGTTCTTCCTTCACCTGACCTTACCTTCTACAATTCTTGGCACGTATTCAGCCCTCTTCTTAGTAAGGCTGTGGCTGGCCGCTTTTTTAATAACTACAACTCCTATCCCATTTCCGGCATTTTATCCCCTTGTCCCTGCTCATTTTTGTCATTTTTCAGAAGGCATTTTTGCTCTCTGAAACGTTCATTATTTTACTTGCATATTTCCTTCTTATCCATCTCTCCAGATAAAATGCGAGCTACACAAGGGCAGAGGTTTTTGTATCTTTTCTTTAATACTGCATTCCCAGCACCTATATCTTACCACATAACAGGCACTAGATAGTCACTACATTAGTGAAAAAAAAAAAAAAAAAAAAAAACCCAATAAATTAAAAGCAGCCACAGTGATCAGCTAACATTTAGGAACATTTTAGTTGTTCTTGGTGTAAAGATCTAAATTCACTAGTTTTTCAACTTCATAGTTCTTAAAAACCCTTAATTTATAAATGATATTTCTAGCCTAAGACCACTCCTAAATATACTTTATATAAGCAATATTACTTGATTATCTGAATATAAATTTTCTAATTTAGTAATCTCCGAATCAGTCATTAATTTACTAATAAATTCAGTTGCCTCTATGCAGCATTATCACTAAGACATATAAAAATCTAAGCATATCATCTCAGCTTACAGAAAGAAAGCATGTGAGACAGCCAAACTAAAGGGAAATAAAAAAGCAAAGGGTCTTACCAATTTTATTTTTCTTAAGGTGAAAAACGTAATTTTATTTTATTTTCAATTTTTTTTTTTTTGAGACAGTTTCACTCTGTTGGCCTGGCTGGAGAGCAGCAGCACAATCTTAGTTCACTGCAACCTCTGCCTCCCAGGTTCAAGTGATTCTTGCACCTCAGCCTGCCAAGTAGCTGGGATTACAGGCATGTACCACCAGGCCCAGCTAACTTTTTATATTTTTAGTAGAGATGGGGTTTCGCTATGTTGGCCAGGCTGGTGTCAAACTCCCGGCGTTAAGTAATCCACTTGCCTTGGCCTCCCAAAGTGGTGGGATTAGGGGAATGAGCTCCCATGCTGGGCCAATTTTTTTTCCTAAGCTGGAACTGTGCCAATAGCCAGTTCCAATGTAGAGGCTGGGCAGAAGATAATTCATGGAGATACAACAGTACAGAGGAGAGCATATTTATATAAACAATAATAAACTGATGATAAGAAAAGCAGCATCATATGAAATTAGCTAAAGGTTAATATACTTTCAAATACAAAATTTAAAAACTCAACTAAAAAGTTTTAAAGTTTTTCATTTAAATTCCTTGAATTTAAAAAGTAGATTTCAGTGTGATTTGTAAACTTTATGCTTCTCAAAAGGACTTGACACATTTCATTGCTAGAGATTTCAGAATTTCTACTAGACTTCCTATGACATTTGTAAGATTAAAGGATGTCTTGGACGTTTGCCCCTTACCGATTCAACTAATGATCTTGCTTCCTCTTGAGTGCAACGGAAAGGGCTATCAGATATCTGCACGTTTGTGCTGGAGAGGAAAAGAGAATGTTATTATTAAACAGGATAAAAAGAAACAATTACCAAAAAAAACCCCAAAAACTAACTAACTCCAAATACTCCACATCAGTTGTATACTTTCAACCAATGACTAGAAACTGAATGAATAAAAATTAAGACAATGAAGATTATTGTATATTCTTTCAGGCAAGGTTAAAAGTATAGAGTAGTCCACAGCAAAGCACTCTCCAGAATGACAAAAGATTTTTAAAAATTATATTACACAAATCCTAATAATTTCCAGGTATATATAAAAAGCTATACCACAATTGCACTTCACCTTTATTGAAGAAAAGAGGAAGCAAATTTGACCCATTGAATGGGACCTAGGATAAATTTTCCTCTAAGCAAGGTGACAAACGTAGTAACGAGCTACTTAAAGTTTTTGCAGAATCTCTTTCACAGATAAGGAGATTAAAGAGGAAACTATACGAATATAAAGTTTATTTTCTTATATGTAGGGAAGTTCAGCCAGGCATAGGAATAGCAGCTCCTTCCCTGACTAGGGAAGCCTCATAGAGTCAAACGCCACCTTTCCTATACCTCTAAAAGCATGCCACTCATTACATATTGCCAATCTCTAGACGAAAGCAAAAGCATTATTCCTCTGAAACATATTAAGACTGATTTTTTAAAATTTCATCAAAGGAACAGGCAGATTAAAATGGATAAAGAAAGAGGTGGTAGAGAAGGGAGTTAAAGCCAAATTAACTTTTTTAAATAGAAGAAAAAGTGATTAGCAGATCCCTAAAAGATAAAATAATAGGTAAAACACACGTAAACATATTCCCCCTCAAGTGGACCTAAGGATATACATTATCAAATTTATTTTCACAATAGCTTTGTGAAATATATTGAGATATCAGTGATAAAAAACATCTGTCTATATCTCGCTGTAATTGATGACACTGAGTATACAGTGATTATAATAAGTGGTCATTTTGGTTTTTATCCAGACTCCTAATGTGGGATTCATTTTCATTCTTGGCATGAATAGAATTTGATGAAAGTTAGCAGTAACATCTTTAAGGCTAAGCTTTTTTGCCACATGGCACGTTTACCTATGTAACAAAACTCCACATCCTGCACATGTACCCCAGAACTTAAACTAAAAGTTGAGGGAAAAAAAAAGATGAAGTTTTCTTGTATTCTCTTTTCTACAGCTCACGTTTAAGCAAGCTGAAAATTGAAAAAGGCAGAGCCTTGTAAGTCAGATGTTTCCTTGATGACTGTCAAAAATAAATTTAAAAAGAACCAGGCAAAAAATTAGACACTGTAAAAAAAGTGCTGGTCCTGTGAAGAAAGTATGGTATACAAAGTACTAATTACAATACATATAATGCTTTTAACATTATAACTAAACCAAAGTAAAACATTCCCTGGAAATTCTGGGAAAAGGATGGTGGATGGTGGGGGCGAGTCTTTTCTAGATACAGTTGCCATATAAAATACAGAACAACCAATTACATTTGAATTTCAAATAAGCAACAAACTATTTGTTTGGTAGTATAAGTATGTCCCAAATGTTGAAAGAGACACACACACTTACATGGAAAAATATTTGTTATTCTGAAATATTTAAATAGAAGAAAAAGTGATTTAACTGGTGTCCTGTATTTTTAATCTGTTAAATCTGATAACCTTACTTCTTTTTCTTTTTTCCTCTCTCTCTCTTTTTTTTTTTTTTTTTATTATACTTAAGTTCTAGGGTACATGTGCACAACATGCAGGTTTGTTACATACATTTACATGTGCCATGTTGGTGTGCTGCACCCATTAACTCGTCATTTACATTAGGTATATCTCCTAATGCTATCCCTCTCCCCTCCCCCCACCCCACGACAGGCACCGGTGTGTGATGTTCCCCTTCCTGTGTCCAAGTGTTTTCATTGTTCAGTTGCCTCCTATGAATGAGAACATGTGGTGTTTGCTGACAACCCTACTTCTAAAGTAATCCTCTACTCCTACGACAAAATGAAACTATGAATAGGAATATCAGAAAACAATGACAATATTTAAGCCAGCACAGTAAAATTTAAAAGTATTTAAAATTTTATTTTAATTTTAAAAATTAAAAAAAATTTAAAAAATATCTCTGATAAAATGTCTTGACAAGTAACCAGTAGTGGATATCTTGGGAAAGTAAACTGACCCTGCTATTTTTTCACCTTAAAAAAATATATGAGCGGTTGGGTGCGGTGGCTCACGCCAGTAATCCCAGAACTTTGGGAGGCCAAGGTGGGCAGATTAGCTGAGGTCAGGAGTTTGAGACCAGTCTAGCTAGCATGGTGAAACCCCATCTCTATTATAAATACAAAAATTAGCCAGTCATGGTGGCACACACTTGTAATCCCAGCTCCTTGGGAAGCTGAGGCAGGGGAATCACTTGAACCTGGGTGGTGGAGGTTGCAGTGAGCCGAGATGGCGCCACTGCACTCCAGCCTGGGTGACAGAGTGAGGCAATGTCTCAAAAAAATATATATACATATATATATATATTATATATATGTATGTATCTATGTATATGTATATATAAAATAGGATGATACATAAAAATCATCCTAATAGAATGAAAGATTACAAAGTTTCTTCTATTTACCAAATAGGCTCTTCGATCAGCTAAAAACAGTGCCAACATCCTCACTCACGTCCTTTCAGTCAATAATATATGTAATCTAGCTTGTAAGAACATATATGTATGTAAATATGTGTGTGCACATACATATATGTACTTTACCCCCTCTTGGATTTAATAATTTGTACTTTGAATGTTTAAAAGTGTAATAAAAGGCATGATACCAAGAAATATTTTTATTTTTTCTGAACTGGCCTTCATGTAAAAATAGTTGTTTAACATTGATTCATATTTATTAGCCAATTCAAAAAAATCATACTACTTGTCAGGGACTTTTCTAGATGCTGGAGACACAATACTGAATCATGCAGCCCCCTAAGGAGCTTTTAATATTTAAGATTCTTTTTAGTTCTCAAACTATGACTATGACCTGCCAGGGGAAAAGCAGTATAATCATTTAAAGGAGGGATGACTAAGCTTTTAGTGCCCACTATAAACGAAACTTAAAAAAAAAAAAAAACTAAAAAGAATGCACTGCTTTCCTTTTTATATTAAGATACTAAATATTATATTTTAAATGTATAAATGTTACATGACCTATATACACCTTTGTTGACCAAAACAAGATGATATTAGAGCAAAAAATCAGTAAAACCAAAAATGCTGTGTACAACAAACCCAAATTACATACAAAAATAATAAAGTATATTAGTAGACAGATAATAGTGCTTTAGTGAAGGGAAAACCATTTTTTTCAAGTAAATCTCAAATCAAATAATGGCCCACAGTTATAATCCTCAAAGACAGTGTCCAGGATAAAGATATGTCAAGGTTTTTTATTCTAAAGCAAAGTGGTCAAGAAAAAGGGAGAGAGAAAATTTAAAGAGATCAGAATGACAAAAATTTTAGACCATAACCTCCAGAGTTTATAGAAGGAAGTGACCTTGGGATAAATGTACACAAAGGCAAAACAACTGAGGCTATCAATACATGAAAAAGTATCATATTACTGGTACCAAAACAGACATATAGACCAATGGAACCCCAGAAATAACACCACGCATCTACAACCATCTGAGCTTCAACAAACCTGACGAAAACAAGCAATGGGGAAATGATTCCCTATTTAATAAATGGTGCTGGGAAAACTGGCTAGCCATATGCAGAAAACTGAAACTGGACCCCTTCTTTACACCTTATACAAAAAACTAACTCGAGATGGATTAAAGACTTAAATGTAAAAACCAAAAACCATACAAACCCTAGAAGAAAACCTAGGCAATATAATTTAGGACATAGGCATGGGCAAAGAGTTAATGATTAAAACACAAAAAGCAATTGCAACAAAAGCCAAAATTGGTAAGTGGGATCTAATTAAACTAAAGAGCTTCTGCACAGCAAAAGAAATTAGCATCAGGGTGAACAGACAACCTAGAAAATGGGAGAAAATGTTTGCAATCTATCCATCTGACAAAGGGCTAATATCCAGAATCCACAAAGAACTTAAATAAATTTACAAGAAAAAAAAAACCATTAAAAAGTGGGCAAAGGATAGGAACACACATTTCTTGAAAGAAGACATTTATGCAGCCAACAAACATGAAAAAAAGCTCATCATCACTGATCTTTAGAGAAATACAAATCAAAACCACAATGAGATACTACTTGATGCCATGAATGGCAATTATTAAAATGGCAATTATTATCAGAATGGCAATTATTAAAAAGTCAAGAAACAACAGATGATGCTGAGGCTGTGGGGAAATAGGAATGCTTTTACACTGTTGTTGGGAGTGTAAATTGGTTCAACCATTGTGGAAGACAGTGTGGCGATTCCTCAAGGACCTAGAACCAGAAATACCATTTGACCCAGCAAACCCATTACTGGGTATATATCCAAAGAAATATAAATCATTCTATTATTAAGACTCGCGTGCACGTATGTTTATTGCAGCACTATTCACAATAGCAAAGACATGGAACCAACCCAAATGCCCATCAGTGATGGAATGGATAAAGAAAATGTGGTACATATACATCATAGGATACTATGAAGCCATAAAAAGAAATGAGGTCAGGTTCTTTGCAGGGACATGGATGAAGCTGGAAGCCATCATCCTCAGCAAACTAATGCAGGTGCAGAAAACCAAACACTGCATGTTCTCACTTACAAGTGGGAGCTGAACAATCAGAACACATGGTCACAGGGAAGGGAACAACACACACTGGGCCTGTTGGTGGGGGGAAGGGAGGGAGATTATCAGGACAAATGGCTGATGCAGGCAGGGCTTAACACCTAGGTGATGCGTTGATGGGTGCAGCAAACCACCACGGAACATGTACACCTATGTCAACAAACCTGTACGTTCTGCACATGTATCCCGGAACTTAAGGTA